GGGGCGAGCCCCTCGGCTGCCAGCGCCTTTCTCCGGCGAGGAGGGAAGCGCCGGCCGCCCCTCAGCCAGGCGGCAGCTAGAGCCAGGCCCCCACGGACCCCACGCACGCCAGCCGACCCGCCAGCCTGGCGACTCGGCATCTCTCCCCCTTGCGCTCCTCCTTCCAGATGAGAGTAGCTGTCGTCCTTCTCCCTTTGCCCAGTTCTGCGGTTCTTCCTCTTTTCCCAGAAAGCTTTGAAGAGGATCTGTAGCAAACGCATGGCAATAAATTGGTTCACTTGGTCAGGAAGAGTCGAAGGAAAAAGAGATTTCTTGTGGCTCTGAAGGTCCCCGTGAGGTCCTGCCAGGCTCCCTCAGTGTCTGCGGAGGGTTTGGAGAGCTGATCTTGAGCTCAAAGAGGCAATGGGGTTAGATCTGGACTGTCCAACTCCCAGGGGCTTTAGTGATGGAAACACCAGTTCTTCAGGTGTAGGCTCTTCTCCAAACGCTTCTGAGACATCTTGTGCTGACGGTCATCCCATGGCAGGCTGGGTGCACATGGGGAGGGGAGGCTGTTTGCGGCAGCGGGTGCCGATCCTGTTTTTCTTGGTTACATGATGTTCCCTGCTGTGTGTGCGGGTCGTTCTCATTGAGCCAGTTCCTGAACTTTACCCAGAAAGCACATGCATGGCAGCTCTTGCAGAGCTTGCAGAATTTGGGGCTGGAAATCAGGAAGTGAGCTGTGATGCTGGGTCTCGTGCCTGCAGAAATGTGAGTCCTGTGATGAGGTCCCAGCTCCCCAGCTGTGTGACCAGGGCGCAATCCACTATCAAAAGGCAGTAGCGTCCTCAACCTGAATTCAGAGGACAAGAGGTGAGTTCTCCTCCTGTCTCCCTCCATCCTGTAGCATCTTTGCTGAAATTAGGGTGCCTGAGTGCAGTGGCCCATGAGCTGAGACCCAGTGAATGGATTTCATGTGTGCCCCTGTCTGATGCCTGGGTTGCTTCCTGTTAATGTAGACTGCAGGACACCAGAGGCTTTTGTGTTGATCCCGTTGGGTTGCCCATCCCCAGGCACAGAGGAGGGGGGAGCCTGCATGACAGCAAGGCATGACGCAGTTTTCCGACAATCCTTAACCAACTCATTGGGCCCCTTTTGTGTCCCTTCTAGGATCAGCAAAGGGATCTTCTGTACTTCTGCACTGCTGTGGTCCCAGCCTGGTTGTTGGCTACTACCCTGCTTGATGGAGCTAGTGCTGCTGGAAACGCTCCTCATGGCAGTTGGCTGAGCCTGGTGTGGGAACACTGGTGGGACGCAGCGGGCAGCGTGTGTTGCAGTAGGAGGGAAGGATCTTGCCACCAGACGGAAGATGGCTCAGGGCACCGGGAGCATCAACAGTGACTACAAGGACTGGGAGTGGAGTGCTGATGCTGGGGAACGGGCCAGGCTCCTACAGAGCCCCAGTGTGGAGACGGTACCCAAGAGTGGAGAGAGCCAAGGAGACAGTCTGGGGGCCACCTCCGCTCTGGGAGCTGTCTTCATCGTGGTGAACGCTGCCCTTGGGGCTGGGTTGCTCAACTTCCCCGCTGCCTTCAACATGGCTGGTGGTGTGGCTGCAGGCATCACGCTGCAGATGGTGAGAGGGCAGGGAAGGGAAGGCCCCATGTTCCACCCTGGGGAGGGGTGCACGGGTGGGAGCTGGAGATCCTGGTGAAGGATGGGAGAGACTGTGGGCCCCTGAGAGGGAGCTCTGCTTGGTGAGGTGTGGGGCAGGGCTCTGAGGGACACCAGAGGTGCTGTGTATGTTTGGGGCTGGGTATCTGGGGTGGCTTCGGGGACCTTGGCATGCCATTCCCTCACTGTGCCCCCTCCATGTTTCCTCCCCTCTCCAGTGCATGCTGGTCTTCATCATTGGAGGCCTAGTCATCCTGGCGTACTGCTCGCAGGCCAGCAATGAGCGGACGTACCAGGAGGTGGTGTGGGCTGTGTGTGGGAAGGTACCCGGAGTGCTGTGCGAGGTAGCTATCGCTGTTTACACCTTTGGCACTTGCATTGCTTTCCTCATCATCATCGGAGATCAAGAGGACAAGAGTAAGTGTCCTGAGGAAAACTCCATTGCCCTCCGTTCTCCTGGAAAGGGGAGATGTCCTTGTCTTGCACTCTGACAGCCTCAGCTCTCCTCCACAGTCATTGCTGCGCTCGTGACAGAGCCTGAGGGAGCAGGGAGCAGCCACTGGTACACAGACCGCAAGTTCACCATCAGCATCACTGCCTTCCTCCTCATCCTGCCTCTCTCCATCCCCAAGGAGATCGGCTTCCAGAAATATGCCAGGTAGGTGGGGAGAACCCTCAAAGGCTGCGAGCTGGGACAAGCTAACAGCCTGGGCCAGCTGGAACCCTCCTGAGCATGGAGACACCCTTTCTGGCCCTGACTCTCTCACCAACCCTTGAGACTTTGGACATGTCCTTCTCCTCCCTGTACCTCGGTTTCCTCACCTGGGAAAGAGAGTTGCTGCTGAGCACTGTGCAGACATAACTTAATTCCTTGGGGCCTTTGTCCCTCACTTGTGCTCTCTGGAGGGAAGAGCTGGTCTCAACTGCTTTGTTTGCTGTCTTTGGAATTTGGCCACCCAGCAGAAAGGAGGGCCAGTAAAGGTCCCCTGGGACCCAGGCCCAGGCGGTCTGCAGGCCAGTGTTGCTCTAACTGCACATCCTGGTGTCAATCAGGCTGCTGGAACTGGACCAGGGCTGCCTAGAAACACTGTAGCCATTTGTTTAATACTCGCCCCTTTCTCCATCCCTGTCCAAAACCCAGGGTCAGCCTGCCCCTTTATTTGGAGCATGTCTGCTCCACAGCACAGCCCCAGGGCACAGTGAGGTTGTGTGAGCATCTCTTTGGGGGACAGTGGGTGACAGTGCCTGGCATATTTGCGTTCTCAGTAAGGAAGGAGATAGAGAGGGCAAGGGGTGGCCCTGGTGGGAAGGATTGGGGGGGTCCAGGCTGCACTGGGAGAAAGACAGGGCTGGAAAGGCTGGGAAGGAGACCCTCTCCAGCTTACTGAGAGTAACAATAGCTGACTGAGAGGCAGCGCACTGACAGGCCCACTCTCCCCTCTTGCAGCTCTCTAAGTGTGATTGGCACATGGTATGTCACTGCAGTCATTATCATCAAGTACATCTGGCCTGACAAGGAGCTTGCGCCTCTGGAGATCCCCACCAGGTACGTGCAAGAGACGTGTTGCTGGTGGTGACCCTTACTCACTGCAGAGCCTAGCAGGGGTGCTGAAATGAGGGATGCATAGATGGGAGACAGTTCCTTCCCAAGTCCCATCCCTGGTCCCAGGGAAGCTGCATATTTCTGCAGAACTCCATGAGGCTGTATTGCTGCACCTTTCATGGGAGCAGGTAGTGAAGGAGAGGAGAAAGACCTGTTGGAGGCACCCTGTCCTGGTCCCCTTCTCCCCTTCTTCAATACTACAGCATGAGCTCAATCCTTCTTAGACATCAGAGAATCCTCATCTGCCCTGCACTGAAGCACGTCTTGCAGGCTAGTGAGGAGTGGAGTAAATCCCCAAAACCTGGGACCTAGGAGACCACAGGGGCTAGAAGGACAAAAATAGAGAGGGGGCAGGACTGCCCTCATGGTTACAACTGGCTGGACAGGTAGCCATCCCTGTGGACTGCAGGGGACACTAACCGAAGGACACAGTCACAGCAGGACCCATTGGGCTACCAAAGGTGGCTGCCAACCCTGCATCCTTTGGGGGTTCAGCGTTGCACAAAGGACCCCGGAGATGTAGTCACAGTTGGAGACACTGCTCCTACGGGATCCGTGGTGCCCCTGCCAGTGGGACCCTGTCCTCTCAGATATCTGAGTCCCCAGAGCTCCATGAATGCTTTTGCCAAGGGCTAGTTTGATTTTAGCTTCGATACAGCTGGGCCCAAAGTTCCTCTTGTGGTGTTTGTGCTCGCTCGGAAACGAGGGGCCTTTTTAGGATGATTTTGGTTGTTTCCTTTGTTGACAAAAGTCTGAGTGGCTTCTCCCCTCCCTCGCTGCGTGGAGCTGTTTCTGAACCCAGTGTGGGCAAGACACAGTTATCCCAGGTGTTTTAGGGCAGGGTAAAACTTAGACCAGTTTTCAGCACTGCCCAACAGGTCCTTATTTTTTTTTCTACTGATTCTTTTACTTCAGTAATTCCTCAATTTTGGACATCTCTGACAGCTTCTAAGAGGGCCTGGCTTTATCTGAGTGAAAGGCCCTGGTCTTCAGAGTGTGCCAGATCCTGGGAAAACTTTGATCCCTGCAAAGGCGACATCCCCCCCAAGGGGGAAGTGGTAACTGAGGAGGAGGCAGATCTGCTGAGAAATGAACCCGTTACCTTGTCGTTCCTCTGAAGGGACTCTGTGAGTGGGTGTGGGGGGCCCATTCCTTCCCTGCACAGTGTGACTGGTGGGTCTTTCTCTCCTGCCAGCCCCTCCACATGGATGGCTGTGTTCAATGCTATGCCTACCATCTGCTTCGGATTCCAGGTAAGGCTGCAAGCCTCATGGCTGCCTGCGTGTAGGACTGGTCTAGTCCCCAAAGGAACTGAGGGATTACAGCGGATCTCAGAAATGAGCGCTGGCAATCCTCCAACCCTCAGACTGTTCACCCTTCGGCCAGCACTGGGCAGCTCGCCCCTTTGCCCATGTCTACCCTTGTCTAGTCAGTCCAGAGATGTCCCAGTGGTTAAACTTTGTCCCTTCCACAGGAAACAGCTATGCAGCTAGATGCTTTTTACTTTCAGAATATTTCCCTGGACATTCAGATGGAAGCTTCTCTGTGCTCTCAGTGTATGTTTTTGCAAGGTGGCTGGAACCAGTTTTAACATCTCACCACCCCTGGAGGAGAGGCTCCCCACTCTTTGCTTTCTACCCATTGGCTCTGCAGCTGCCTGGGAAGCTAGTTCAGCTCCCTGTACTGGCAGAGAACTAACCCTGGCAGAGGGAGAGTAGTGTTTTGTTAAGCAGAGAAGAGTTGGGCTGTGAACAAGATTGGATGGGAGACATATCAATTTTATCCTAGCTGGGGAGCTGTCAGGGCCCCATCACTTTCTCCAGCGACAAACCAGGGGGCTCATGATGTCTTCGCTTCTCGGTAGTGCTTTGCTGTAGCCACGCCTAACACGTGGGAGGGATCCTGCACAGCTCTCCTTCACCCCGGCTCACCCCACCCTGTGTCCCCATGCTCTCTTTGTGTCCCTGGCAGTGCCACGTGAGCAGCGTGCCCGTCTTTAACAGCATGAAGCAGCCGGAGGTGAAGACCTGGGGGGCAGTGGTGACAGCAGCCATGGTGATCGCTCTTTTTGTCTATACAGGCACTGGTAAGTGAGGGGACTTCACGGTGGCTTGTGTGAATATGGCATGCTCCCTGGAGGGGCTGTCAGGCCCTGGAGGGCAGAAATCCCCTGGTCAGCAGAGGGTCAGCAGGATGGAGGTACAGAGAGGGAGGCAGGGGGTTCACCTGACCCCCCTCGACAGTGTGTCCTGTGTGTCACATCCCCCTGA